CCATATCTCATATTTATTGTCTGGGCCAGTACATACAGTACATACTACCTACACAAATTACTCATCATAGAAAATACATTTGCAAGACTAGACACCTCCTCTAATTACCTGGCTCCATCTGCACCTTTGTTTAAGAAACTCAATATCTTGTCTAATTACGACATTAATGTACAGCAATTATGCACTTTCATCAGTTTACCTAAACCCATCAATGTATTCTTCCAGGTTAATTCTGAAATCCATCTATATAACACAAGATCCTGCGATAACCTTCACCCTCCCCACTGCCGCACCTCACATAGTCAATTCTCTATCTGATATAGAGGTACCATATTCTGGAATTCTTATCTTCATATTGCCAAAACATCATCATCCCTCAATAACTTCAAGCGAAGATTGGGGGTCAGCCTGATGAACCAAACTACTCAGTAATCTCTTTCACATAGCCTAACTCTCACACACTCACATGCACACACACATTTAACCTCTTAACGATCTGACCCTTTTTTCCAATTTTCGACTAAAATGTCATACCCATATCTAACTGCCTGTAGCTCAGGACCTGAAGCAAGGATATGCATATTCTTGATACCATTTTAAAGGAAACATTTTGAAGTTTGTGGAAATGTGAAAATAATGTAAGAGAATGTAACAAATTAGATCTGGTAAAAGATAATAAAAACAAAAGAAACATGTGTGGGGGGGGGGGCAATGCAAATAGTCTGGTTAGCCATTTGATTAGATGTTCAGGAGTCTTATGGCTTGGGGGTAGAAGCTGTTTAGAAGCCTCTTGGACCTAGACTTGGCGCTCCGGAACCGCTTGCCGTGCGGTAGCAGAGAGAACAGTCTATGACTAGGGTGGCTGGAGTCTTTGACAATTCTTAGGGCCTTCCTCTGAAACCGCCTGCTATAGAGGTCCTGGATGGCAGGAAGCTTGGCCCCAGTGATGTACTGGGCCGTACACACTACCCTCTGTAGTGCCTTGCGGTCGGAGGCCGAGCAGTTGCCATACCAGGCAGTGATGCAACCAGACAGGATGCTCTCGATGGTGCAGCTGTTGAACCTTTTGAGGATCCATGCCAAATCTTTTCAGTCTCCTTAGGGGGGATAGGTTTTGTCGTGCCCTCTTCACGACTGTCATGGTGTTCTTGGACCATGTTAGTTTGTTGGTGATGTGGACGCCAAGGAACCTGAAGCTCTCAACCTGCTCCACTACAGCCCCGTCGATGAGAATGGGGGCGTGCTTGGTCCTCTTCTTTTTCCTGTAGTCCACAATCATCTCCTTTGTCTTGATCACGTTGAGGGAGAGGTTGTTGTCCTGGCACCACACGGCCAGGTCTCTGTCCTCCTCCCTATAGGCTGTCTCGTCGTTGTCGGTGATCAGGCCTACCACTGTTGTGTCATCGGCAAACTCAATGATGGTGTTGGAGTTGTGCCTGGCCATGCAGTCATGAGTGAACAGGGAGTACAGGAGGGGACTGAGCACGCACCCCTGAGGGGCCCCCGTGTTGAGGATCAGCGTGGCGGATGTGTTGTTACTTACCCTTACCACCTGGGGGTGGCCCGTCAGGAAGTCCAGGATCCAGTTGCAGAGGGAGGTGTTTAGTTCCAGGGTCCTAAGCTTAGTGATGAGCTTTGAGGGCACTACAGTGTTGAACGCTGAGCTGTAGTCAATTAATAGCATTCTCACATAGGTGTTCCTTTTGTCCAGGTGTGAAAGGGCAGTGTGGAGCGCAATAGAGATTGCATCATCTGTGGATCTGTTGGGGTGGTATGCAAATTGGAGTGGGTCTAGGGATTCTGGGATAATGGTGTTGATGTGAGCCATGACCAGCCTTTCAAAGCACATCATGTCTACAGATGTGAGTGCTACGGGTCGGTAGTCATTTAGGCAGGTTACCTTAGTGTTCTTGGGCACAGGGACTATGGTGGTCTGCTTGAAACATGTTGGTATTAAAGACTCAGACAGGGAGAGGTTGAAAATGTCAGTGAAGACACTTGCCAGTTGGTCAGCGCATGCTCGGAGTACACGTCCTCGTAATCCATCTGGCCCTGCGGCCTTGTGAATGTTGACCTGTTTAAAGGTCTTACTCACATCGGCTACGGAGAGCGTGTTCACACAGTCGTCTGGAACAGCTAATGCTCTCAGGCATGTTTCAGTGTTACTTGGCTCGAAGCGAGCATAGAAGTAATTTAGCTTGTCTGGTAGGCTTGTGTCACTGGGCAGCTCGTGGCTGTGCTTCCCTTTGTAGTCTGTAATAGTTTGCAAGCCCTGCCACATCCAATGAGCGTCGGAGCCGGTGTAGTACGATTCGATCTTAGTCCTGTATTGACGCTTTTCCTGTTTGATGGTTCGTCGGAGGGCATAGCGGGAATTCTTATAAGCTTCCGGGTTAGTGACCCGCTCCTTGAAAGCGGCAGCTCTACCCTTTAGCTCAGTGCGGATGTTGCCTGTAATCCATGGCTTCTGTTTGGGGTATTTACGTACAGTCACTGTGGGAACGACGTCATCGATGCACTTATTAATGAAGCCAGTGATGTGGTGTACTCCTCAATGTCATCGGAAGAATCCCGGAACATATTCCAGTCTGTGCTAGCAAAACAGTCCTGTAGTTTAGCTTCTGCTTAATCTGACCACTTTTTTATTGACTGACACTGGTGCTTCCTGCTTTAGTTTTTGCTTGTAAGCAGGAATAAATATTTGTCCTCTTGCTCCAACCACACCTGCACAACGTTTTTATTTTTTATCTGTCTATCACTTGTTTTCTTTAGTGCAAATAAAACAAATGCTCATCTCATACTTAATATATTTTACTAGTCAGAGATACCACCATACGCACATTTTGTTACCAGTTGCATGCCACTGCCCACCATTTTCATTACACCTTATCTGACATAGAAAGTGTAAGAATTTTGTGTCAATCTCAAGCACGTGTGTGACACACACACAAACACACAAATAAATAATGGACACCCCTCACCTCATCTGTTTAATCGTTTTACTTTTAATAGTAAAAATGACAAAATTACATGATCTCTACTTAATCTACAAAATAATAACTTAATATTCATGATCATGGTAAGCGTCAAAAATTGTTTGGCTCTAACAACTGTTCATAGACATGCACACTGTTGAAATATAAAAATATAAATATAAATACATCCCATTAATGTCCTTAATAAATCCATTACTAAGATTTAAAATAGTTCAGAATAAAATAATTAAAATGCAGTTGAGTACAATAAGGCATTAAGATGTATCGCAAGAGCTGTACAGGTTACTAGAATATAGTTTAAAAATATAATTTGTTTTGCTTCATGCGGGAAACCTAAAATAACTTTGATTAAATCACTACTTTTCTCAACAGGAAGAACAAGTCTCAAAATTAAATCATTCTACACATTTTTTTCAAGCTAACATACCAACACTAAACGGATGAAATGAAGCACTCCATTCAAAAAACAGGATTTGTTGAAAGCATACTAGCGGTGGGCCATCGAACGCTAGTAGTACCTGGATATACTTATCTCAATCTGACCTTTGACCTATAAAGCCCTTCCATGACATCACACCTTATCCACTGAAAAAGTCTAACAATCAAAATTGTCTGAGGAAAGGTGATCTTTCTCTTCAGATTCATGGGGAGCGGTAAGTCATAATATGAGTTGTGCTCAGAACGCTGTGTGCTATACATGGTGGTGTTACATGGCTAGAATTCTAATGAATTAGTTTTAATACGGTGGACTCGTACAAGGAACGAAACAAAGGAGGCTATGGCAATGACAGTTACAAAGAAATAAAATGGCGGACATGGTTAAAATTAATTTGACTGAATCAATCACCACATTCTCAAAATATTTGTTTTCAACCATCTGTAGTGTAAGTGCTGCTAACTTTCTTGTAGCATGATAACTTTACTTTTCCTAAAAGCTAAAAGTTGTCTTAGTTTCACTTTCATGCTAATTGTGTTTTAGGTGCCAGTTAACTGCGTCATGAGCCTGGCTGTACAGTAGCAGTAATGAGAACTCCATTGTGTATTAAATGTGGTCGTGCCCAGAGAGGAAGACGCAGAGCAAATACATCTTTAAGAAACCTGTCTGAACCTTCGGCGAAAGTAAACGTCAACATTTGTAAGGTGCTTGATACTCCTTAACTCAACTTTGCCAATGTTTTTTTCTCTCTCTACTGTACCTGAAACAAATCGATACAGTACACCCCTCCACTGTTCATAATCACCAATATAGTGATACAGCGTTGGCCCTATTTAAAACAGACTACATCCATATGCTCTATGATTACACAATTAAAACGTAGTGTCTACTCCTCTCCATTTTCGGAAGGTAGCAGCCCCTGACTTGTTTTGTGCTATTCTCCCCCTGAACCTCTCATTCTCCTTCAGAATATCCTCTTCTACACACCCTTTTGTAATATCATTTCCCTGTTACTCTTTTATACCATCCCCCAACTTCTTACTACAAGCCTTTCTTATGAAGGCTCGGAGAAGAAAGCGACAAAATGGAGGCAAAATGAAAGTGTTTCTGACATACAGTTACAAAACATGGTACATTACTAGCAGATGGGGAGTAGTTGCTGGGACTGAGGGAGACCAAGGGGGGAAGGGGGGAGGGAGAGGGATAGAGTAGATGCACTCAAGACCACAGTGTCATAGGAGTCCTGATAGTGCAAGAGAGTTCAGCCACGTTGGGGACACTCACTTCCATATTTGTCGTTATCTAGCGTCATCGAATCAGCGTACAGGACATATAATGTCCCCCTCCTCTCGCCACATTCTCCTAACTGTTCTCGCATACCTTCTCTCTGCCTCCTTCTCTCCCCTAAGTCAGCCCGCTCTGTCCCATTCCCCCTTTTCCTCTAGCTATGGGACGTAGAGAAGCCAATTTTTTTTACTGTGGCTTTCCCCTAAGCAAGCCCACTTTGTCCTCCTAACCTCTCACTATAGGGACTCAGGGGGGTGAGGTTCAACTGAGGCTCCGCTCTGCTAACTGTGGGACTGAGGCTGGATGCTGGAGCAATCCGACACTAGCAGGTTCACCACAGTGTTGCCACTGATGTAGACGTTCGGGGCGGACACCATGTTGCCGAGGGACACGGAGGAGCTGGACGCCCCGCTAGAGGTGACAGGGCCGGGGGATCCCTCTTGACCCCCCGTGCTGTGGGTGCCCATGTGGCCCTGCAGCTGGGTGGGGGTCTTGCAGTGCACCCCGCACAGCTGGCACACTAGGACACCGCCGGAGCCTGTGCCGCCGAAGACGCCAGCGCTCTCCTTCCACTCCTGGCCATGGTGCTTCTGGGCATGGACACGCAGGTAGGTCAGAGTGGTGAAGCCTGGAGGAGATGGAGACAGTTAGCGGTTAGTGTCATTTCAAGGCTTTACAGGAAATGCTTAATAGCGTGGTTCCCCCAACAGGCAGGTGAATTTGGCCCCCAAAGTTTTCTGAGTAAAAAAAACATTGTTGGACTAAGACTGTAAAAACACTAGCAAATCAGCTCCAAGTGATTTTAATATAGGAAATCGGTTCCAAAGTATTCCCACGCATAATAAAGAGATATATTTGATCATATTATAGTGGACATTTTTTGTGTCCTCTGTGTCTCTGCTAATGCGAGACTACATGTAGCGTATTGTTTCTTGTTATTGTGTTAGGATGTTCTGTGACTTTGCTCTCAGGGAAAGGACTGATAGAAGAACAGAAAGAAGGGAATACATTGTTACTTTGGCCCAACGCCTAGAAACTGTGTGTGCAAGGTCATGATCAGCCTATTGCCTCCTGAGAGCAGAGACGCCTAGTTTGTGCATGTGTCTAAAGAGTGCTGAACGGGAGCACCCCTTCAGAGCTTCTGACAGACTTGTACTTTGAGTATTACGTTTGTTGTAACCTCTCCGGCCGTGATAATAAAGATCTGTTAATTTAACTTTGACTTGAGTCCTTAGTGGTAGTTTCCACTACAATTTGGCGTCCCAAAAACAGGATGATTGATTCTACCTGTGGAGCTCGGCAGTGAGGGTCTGTGAGGGAACACTGGTGGTGCATTCCATGTGAAGGCGTGCAAAGACGTCTGACCAAAGACGACACTGTGGGCTGCCCGGGAGAAAACACAATCTACGAAACCTAGAAGGACTGACAACTGAATTTCAGTAAGTCAATTTAAAAGAATTTTGAACAATAAGAACCGTATTGAGAAGCTTAGAAAAGGATCCAGAGTCCTAAGAGGGGACTAGGCGGGGGTAGAGAGACCCCGTCGGCAACGCTGTCTGTAAGTATTCAGGGAATACATACGTAGTTCTGGGAACTACATGGAAGTTCTGGGAACTCCATTTTAGGATTTAGAGAATAGTATGTGATGCAGTGGAATGATTTTTGTATGATTGACTCATTTACTGAAAAAGGGAAATTAGTTCCCAGAATGATTGAGGTATGAGTGTGATAATTGTTAGAGTAAAGTAAATTGATAAGGTATAATTAAAAAGTAATAATGGGGAAAGGGAACATTAAAAGTAGATATGAAGACCCAGAGTGGGCACCAAAGGGACCCAGTAAAGTGATGGCAAAGACATTTGGTATGGGGGTACTGTGCCAGACAGAAGATTGGACAGCATGGACTGACCCTGCGAAAGATGCTATGAAGTTTGAAGAAGAGGTGAGAGCAATCATTGCCATGTATAACCCCACCACCCGTGAAATTGAGGAAATACTCCGTCAGTGTTTGAATTTCAAGTGGAACCAGTGTAAGGGATGTTGGAACAGTGATGCAACCAGAGCCAACTGTGTTGAGGAACTCACAGCTGTGTTTAATAATGCAAAGACAACATACACAAAGCACACAGACTGATAGAAAATACTTTCCACAATGATGAAGGCCGATGAGACCTTTGAGGACTATCAGGAACGAATGGAGAAGATCTTCCTCCAGGACTCTGGTCTGACCCCTGACCAAGAATCATATGGCAGCCTGTGTGCCATGCAGTGGTTACTGGCCTGCGACAAGACCTGAAGACAGCTGTGACCACCATATCCATTGGGTGGGAGACAAAGACCCTTGCTGATGTCAAACCTCACATCACCCATGCAGAGAGACAGATCAGGTCGAAGAACACAAATACTGGTGCTAAACTACAAGCTTTTCTCTGGAGGAGGAGAATACCGTGGAGGTGGAGTTCAAGGACGAGGCCGAGGAGGAGGTAGAAGAAGGGAAAGAGGCAGAGGGTGAGGAGCGCAAGGCGCCTCTGGAGGGAGAGACTGTAGCTGCTACAACTGTGGCAAACCAGGACATTTTGCAAGGGACTGTCCTGGTGATGGGAGATGACCAGGGTGAATGGCCAGGACCACCTGAAGATGTAAGTGTTGGAAATCCCTTTGGTGGGCAAAGAACATAGGATGAGGTGGGAACAGAAGAAGACTCCGATGATGAAGAACCACAAGAAGCATGCCAGATGCTGAAACTTACCACCTTTTCGACTGAAAATCCACTGATAGAAATTGAAATAGTTGGCCAGAAGATTCCATTCCTAGGAGACACCGGGGCTGCTATCTCGGTGTTGAAACAATCTGCCCTGAAAGTAATCCCCTCTAAAATAAAAACTCCACACTGTTGGAGCATCAGGAATTCCCTTTGAAGAATGCCTCACTTACCCCCTACACGTTAAGTGGGAAACATCGATTTCTGTACTTCTCCGCCTGCCCTGTAAACCTCCTGGGAAGAGATCTGATGTGCAAGATTAATCTGACTGTTGCATGCACTGCTGAGGGCTTGTCCCTCCGTTCTCCTACAAACGGGATATACCCGTGCGTGTCCCAGTGTTCTTATGCCTGGCATTTGAACGATCCTGAGGTGGAAGGTGAACAATGAGAGAGATCACTTACCTCCCACACCACTGTGCATGGGAGGTCCCAGAACATCTTCACTGCACAGCAGCTGTCCCCTCATGTGAAGAAGACCCTGAATATCAACAAAGATGGACAAAGCAAAAAGCAGAGTGGAAGTGACAATTGATGGAATATACTACGGTGAGGAATTTACAGCGGCCGGAAGACTGATGACAGCCACTGATTGGGTGGCCTGGGAAGGAGTCTCCACCAACAGCTACCCTTTTCTCCCCTTTCTGGGTTACTACTCGAACGATACCAAAGAAATAACCTATTCCTACTGAAATTATGATAGTCGTGTCTCAAGATAACTCCCAAATACCATGGCTGGATGAAGTGCCAGAACAGCTCTGGGCTATCTCCAAGACCAATATTGGGACGATGAGAGGTGCCACCACGGTGAAAGGTGTCCCGAAGAATAATCACAGACCAAATAAAGCTCAGTACCCTCTTAGCAAAGAAGTAGAAAAGGGTATTATTCCCATCCATCAGGCCCTGGATGAGAATGGGGCTTTGATCCCATGCCCAAATTCTTCCTATAACACCCCTATTTTACCTGTTAGGAAGCCATCTGGTGAATATTGTTTTGTGTAAGATCTTAGAATAGTTAATGATGCTGTTCACGCAAGAGCACCCCTGGTGCCAAACACAGTTACTATTCTTTCCCAAGTTCCCCCAGGGAGCGGTTGTTTTTTGGTTATAGATTTAACGCATTCTTCAGCATTCTTCAGCATCCCTGCTGACCCTGGGTCACAGGACTGGTTCTCTTTCACGTTTCTTGGGAAAACATGGACTTGGACGGTGATGCCACAAGGTTACATTTAATCACCTGCCATTTTTGCCCAGGAAATGGCGAGGAACCTGGAAGGTTTTATTCCCCCTAGAGGTAGTACTGTGGTTCAATACGTTAATGACCTGTTGGTCTGTTCCTCATCTGAGGAAATCTGTCACGAAGATACTAAGGCATTGTTGGTTTTCTTCGCTGAAAATTGTCATAAAGCTTCCCACTCTAAGATGCAGTTGTGTAGAAGTTCTGTTAAATATTTGGGTCATGACATTACTTCTGAGGGTCGCGCCCTCTCTAAAGATAAGCTTGAGGCGATAAAGTCCCTGCCTAAACCTGTTACAAAGCAGCACGATGTCGCTGTTGGGAGTGGCTGGCTACTGTCTCCCATGGTTGAAAGATGCAGAGATGGTACAGCCTCTGCAGGATTGTATTTATGGCAGTAGCCAGCCACTCCCAACAGCAACATCGTGCTGCTTAGTAACAGGTTTAGGCAGGCAATGTCTGAAGTGGTGGAATGGACACCTGAGGCTGAATTAGCCTTGATTAAGTTAAAGCAGGCTCTAATGTCGACCCCCTGTTTGGGTTTGCCTGACCACACCAGACCATTCCATTATTTTGTCTCTGAGAATCATGGGTTTATGTCTGCTGTATTGACACAGTACCATGGAGTTGGCTATAGGCCTGTGGAGTACTTCTCTAAGCGTTTAGACACTGTTATCCGAGGCATGCTGTCCTGCCTCCGCATTTTGCTGTGGCAACTGAGGCGGTTTTGGCATGTTCTGATATTGTAACAATGACTGACCTGACAGTGCTAAACTCCCCATCTTACACCTGCCAGATTGCTAGATTATCAGAACATCCTTCTGACAATGTCTCATGTTACACTGAAGAGATGTACTCTCCTCCCTACAGCTGATGCCGGTAAAGAACATGAGTGTGAATTGACAATTGAGATTGACTGTAGCCCTAGGCTTGACCTAAAAGACGTTTCTCTTTTGAATTCGAACTTTGAGTTTTGTGGATGGCTCTGCCCAGCGAAACGACAAGGGTGAACCTTTAGTAGGCTATGCTGTTGTCGCCGCTGTTCAAACTGTGGAAAGTGCTAGACTGCCCCCTCACTTGTCTGCTCAGGCAGCAGAGTTAATTGGTTTAACCAGAGCATGTATTTTGTTAATATCTACACTGATAGTAGATATGCATTTGGTGTTGTGCACCATTTTGGCACGTTGTGGAAGAATAGAGGATTTTTAACTTAGTCTGGAAAAATTATTGCTCACAGTGATCTTGTCTCCTCTTTGCTGACGGTCGTTCAGCTCCCCTCATCTATTGCAGTGGTTAAGTGCCAATCACACACTTCTACAAAGGACAGTGTTTCTAAAGGGAAAGCTAAAGCTGACTGTGCGGCCAAGCTGGCTGCTTCCTCTTCTGTTTTCCCCCTTCTACAGATGGCAGCAGTTTCTGGTCCCACTAACCCCTTCTCTCCTAATGATGCTGTTGTTTTGCAGGCAGCAGCTGATGCGACTGAGAAAAGGCAGTGGGGTGAGCACTGTCGCAAGGACACCTCGGGTGTATGGCTTGATGATTCTAATAGACCTGCCATGCCCCGTTGTACTTTCCAATACCTTGCTAAATTGTCACATGGTCAAGACCATTTGTCAAAAGGAGGGATGGTGGATCTAGTAAAGAAATATTGGGGTACAGTAGGATTTACTGTTTGCAGATTTTTTTTTTAAAGAAGTGTGTGATCTGAATGACTAATCATTTCAGTATCACCCGCGTCCCATCCCAGGCCAGAGGGCCCCTTTGAGAACTTGATGATGGACTTCATTGAGTTGACCCCTTGTGAGGGGAACAAGTATTGTTTGGTGATTGTTGACATATTTTCAAAATGGATTTAAGCTTTTCCTTGCAGGAGAGCTACAGCAGCAGCTGTGGCAAAGGCTCTTCTGAGAGAGATCATGGGGTCTACCATCAAAAGTCTCCTCTGACAATGGTCAACATTTTGTGAATGAGATTGTTCATTCCCTGTCAGAGGCTTTACAGATTGATTTGAGAACCCATTGTGCCTATCATCCTCAATCTGGGGGTGCAGTAGAACGGGCAAACCAAACCCTAAAAACGAAATTGATTAAACTGATTGGTGAAACAAGCGTGACATGGGTGAAGGTGCTTCCATTGGCACTGATGAGCATTAGAGGCAGATCCCACACAGTGACTGGTCTCTCTCCCCATGAGGTGCTGACACGGCAACCCATGAGAATGACTAACACGCCATTTCTTCAAAACAAGTTGACGTCGCAGAGAATGGAAGAAGAGATGGTAGCATACTGTGTCTCACTTAACAATGTTCTTAAGACTCTCTTCCCATGGGTGAAGAGAAGTAAAAGGTCAAGATGAGGGAGGGAATCTGTTCCTCTCTTGAGCTGAAATGGTGGCAAATGTCAACTCATATAAGACTTCTTGTTGGGTATGTGAGTTGGGTCCTGTGGGAGCAGGTAAGGGTCTCCCATATGGAGGGGTTCCCTTCGGGGTGAACTTAACTATTCAACTGTCCTCAATACTGTCATTGGCTACTTCCCCGCCCCAAGGAATCCTGACCCTATGACTTATTTTGCGATGTACAATGTTACTGTCAGCCTTGTACAGTGGCTTGCGAAATTATTCACCCCCCTTGGCATTTGTCCTATTTTGTTGCCTTACAACCAGGAACTAAAATATATTTTTTGGGGTGTTGTATCATTTGATTTACATAACATGCCTACCACTTTGAAGATGCAAAATATTTTTTGCGGTATGTCTCTAACAGCTTGGAACATCTAGCCACTGGGATTGTTGCCCATTCTTCAAGGCAAAACTGCTCCAGCTCCTTCAAGTTGGATGGGTTCCGCTGGTGTACAGCAATCTTTAAGTCATACCACAGATTCTCAATTTGATTGAGGTCTGGGCTTTGACAAGGCCATTCCAAGACATTTAAATGTTTCCCCTTAAACCACTCGTGTTGCTTTAGCAGTATGCTTAAGGGCATAGTCCTGCTGGAAGGTGAACCTCTGTCCCAGTCTCAAATCTCTGGAAGACTGAAACAGGTTTCCCTCAATAATTTCCCTGTATTTAGAGCCATCCATATTTCCTTCAATTCTGACAAGTTTACCAGTCCCTGCCGATGAAAAACATCTCGGGGTGATGAGAGGTGTTGGGTTTGAGCCAGACATAGCATTTTTCCTTGATGGCCAAAAAGATAAATTTTAGTCTCATCTGACCAGAGAACCTTCTTCCATATGTTTGGGGAGTCTCCCACATGCCTTTTGGCGAACACCAAACGTGTTTGCTTATTTTCTTCTTTAAGCAATGGCTTTTTTCTAGCCACTCTTCTGTAAAGCCCAGCTCTGTGGAGTGTATGGCTTAAAGTGGTCCTATGGACAGATACTCCAGTCTCTGCTGTGGAGCTTTGCAGCTCCTTCAGGGTTATCTTTGGTCTCTTTGTTGCCTCTCTGATTAATGCCCTCCTTGCCTTCTCCGTGAGTTTTGGTGGGCGGCGCTCTCTTGGCAGGTTTGTTGTGGTGCCAAATATAACAATTTTTTAAATAATGGATTTAATGGTGCTCTGTGGGATGTTCAAAGTTTCTGATATTTTTTTTTTTACCCAACCCTGATCGGTACTTCTCCACAACTTTGTCCCTCACCTGTTTGGAGAGCTCCTTGATCTTCATGGTGCCCCTTGTTGCAGACTCTGGGGCCTTTCAGAACAGGTGTATACAGTTGATGTCGGAAGTTTACATACACCTTAGCCAAATACATTTAAACTCTGTTTTTCACAATTCCGACATTTAATCCTAGTAAAAATTCCCTGTCTTAGGTCAGTTAGGATCACCACTTTATTTTAAGAATGTGAAATGTCAGAATAATAGTAGAGAGAATGATTAATTTCAGCTTTTATTTCTTTCATCACATTCCCAGTGGATCAGAAGTTTACATACACTCAATTAGTATCTGGTACCATTGCCTTTAAATTGTTTCACTTGGGTCAAATGTTTCGGGTAGCCTTCCACAAGCTTCCCACAATAAGTTGGGTGAATTTTGGCCCAATCCTCCTGACAGAGCTGGTGTAACTGAGTCAGGTTTGTAGGCCTCCTTGCTCGCACACGCTTTTTCAGTTCTGCCCACAACTGTTCTATAGGATTGAGGTCAGGGCTTTGTGATGGCCACTCCAATACCTTGACTTTGTTGTCCTTAAGCTATTTTGCCACAACTTTGGATGTATGCTTGGGGTCATTGTCCATTTGGAAGACCCATTTGCGACCAAGCTTTAACTTCCTGACTGATGTCTTGAGATGTTGCTTCAATATATCCACATCATTTTCCTTCCTCATGATGCCATCTATTTTGTGAAGTGTACCAGTTCCTCCTGCAGCAAAGCACCCCCCCCCCCCCCCCCCCAAAAAAAAAGGATGGCTCACCCCTCACAGTTCTGGGGGATTTCAACCTCCCTATGTTTACATTTGCCTCATTTCTCTCTGCCTCCTTCTTTCCACTCCTCTCCTCTTTTGACCTCACCCTCTCACCGTCCCCCCCTACTCACAAGGCAGGCAATACGCTTGACCTCATCTTTACTAGATGCTGTTGTTCTACTAATCTCACTGCAACTCCCCTCCATGTCTCCGACCACTACTTTGTATCCTTTTCTCTCTCGCTCTCCTCCACCACTACTCACTCTGCCCCTACACAGATGGTAATGCGCCGTCGCAACCTTCGCTCTCTCTCTCCCGCTACTCTCTCCTCTTCCATCCTATCATCTCTTCCCTCTGCTCAATCCTTCTCCCTCCAATCTCCTGATTCTGCCTCCTCAATCCTCCTCTCCTTCCTTTCTGCATCCTTTGACTCTCTATGTCCCCTATCCTCCCGGCCGGCTCGGTCCTCCCCTCCAGCTCCGTGGCTTGATGACTCATTGCGAGCTCACAGAACAGGGCTCCGGGCAGCTGAGCGGAAATGGAAGAAAACTAGACTCCCTGCGGACCTGGCATCTTTTCACTCCCTCCTCTCTACATTTTCTTCATCTGTGTCTGCTGCTAAGGCCACTTTCTACCACTCTAAATTCCAAGCATCTCCCTCTAACCCTAGGAAGCTCTTTGCCACATTCTCCTCCCTGCTGAATCCTCCCCCCCTCCTCCCTCTCTGTGGATGACTTCGTCAACCATTTTGAAAAGAAGGTTGACGACATCCGATACTCGTTTGTTAAGTCAAATGACACTGGTTGGTCCTGCTCACACTGCCCTACCCTATGCTTTGACTTCTTTCCCCCCTCTCTCTCCAGATAAAATCCTGCGACTTGTGACGGCCGGCCGGCCAACAACCTGCCCGCTTGACCCTATCCCCTCCTCTCTTCTCCAGACCATCTCCGGTGACCTTCTCCCTTACCTCACCTCGCTGATCAACTCATCCTTGACCGCTGGCTATGTCCCTTCCGTCTTTAAGAGAGCGAGAGTTGCACCCCTTCTCAAAAAACCAACACTCGATCCCTCTGATGTCAACAACTACAGACCAGTATCCCTTCTTTCTTTTCTCTCCAAAACTATTGAGTGTGCCGTCTTTAGCCAACTCTCTTGCTATCTCTCTCAGAATGACCTTCTTGATCCAAACCAGTCAGGTTTCAAGACTGGTCATTCAACTGAGACTGCTCTTCTCTGTGTCACGGATTGTCACGCGATTGATTTGCACATTTCGCACCAAAGTACGTTAATCTCTAGGAAACAGAACACGTCTCCTTCCTGACCGGTATGACGGCTGCGTGGTCCCATGGTGTTTATACTTGCGTACTATTGTTTGTACAGATGAACGTGGTACCTTCAGGCATTTGGAAATTGCTCCCAAGGATGAACCAAACTTGTGGAGGTCTACCATTTTTGGCTGATTTCTTTTGATTTTCCCATGATGACAAGCAAAGAGGCACTGAGTTTGAAGGTAGGACTTGAAATACATCCACAGGTACACCTCCAATTGACTCAAATGATTTCAATTAGCCTATCAGAAGCTTCTAAAGCCATGGCATCATTTTCTGGAATTTTCCAAGCTGTTTAAAGGCACAGTCAACTTAATGTATGTAAACTTCTGACCCACTGGAATTGTGATACAATGAATTATAAGTGAAATAATCTATCTGTAAACAACTGTTGGAAAAATTACTTGTGTCATGCACAAAGTAGATGTCCTAACTGACTTGCCAAAACTATAGTTTGTTAACAAGAAATTTGTGGAGTGGTTGAAAAACAAGTTTAAATGACTCCAACCTAAGTGTATGTTAATTCAGACTTCAACTGTATATACTGAGATCATGTGACAGATCATGTGACACTTAGATTGCACACAGGTGGACTTTATTTAACTAATTATGTGACTTCTGAAGGTAATTGGTTGCACCAGATATTATTTTGGGGCTTCATAGCAAAGCGGGTGAATACATATGCACGCACCACTTTTCCGTTATTAATTTTTTATAAATTTTTGAAACAAGTAATTTTTTTCACTTCACCAATTTGGACTATTTTGTGTATGTCCATTACATGAAATCCAAATAAAAGTCCATTTAAATTACAGGTTGTAATGCAGCAAAATAGGAAAAAATGCCAAGGGAGATTAATACTTTTGCAAGGCACTGTATATCCTAGACAAAACAATTGCAGTGACCCACCCATCCCTATAGTAGGATCCCTGTTAGCCCCCTGGTGTATTAGAGGAAATAGGTGTAATCATTTGGGTGAAAATGTTTGTAACTGTACTACAGTGGGGAAAAAAAGTATTTAGTCAGCCACCAATTGTGCAAGTTCTCCCACTTAAAAAGATGAGAGAGGCCTGTAATTTTCATCATAGGTACACGTCAACTATGACAGACAAAATGAGAAATAAAATTCCAGAAAATCACATAGTAGGATTTTTAATGAATTTATTTGCAAATTATGGTGGAAAATAAGTATTTGGTCAATAACAAAAGTTTCTCAATACTTTGTTATATACCCTTTGTTGGCAATGACACAGGTCAAACGTTTTCTGTAAGTCTTCACAAGGTTTTCACACACTGTTGCTGGTATTTTGGCCCATTCCTCCATGCAGATCTCCTCTAGAGCAGTGATGTTTTGGGGCTGTCGCTGGGCAACACGGACTTTCAACTCCCTCCAAAGATTTTCAATGGGGTTGAGATCTGGAGACTGGCTAGGCCACTCCAGGACCTTGAAATGCTTCTTACGAAGCCACTCCTTCGTTGTCCGGGCGGTGTGTTGGGAACATTGTCATGCTGAAAGACCCAGCCACGTTTCATCTTCAATGCCCTTGCTGATGGAAGGAGGTTTTCACTCAAAATCTCACGATACATGGCCCCATTCATTCTTTCCTTTACACGGATCAGTCGTCCTGGTCCCTTTGCAGAAAAACAGCCCCAAAGCATGATGTTTCCACCCCCATGCTTCACACTAGGTATGGTGCAACTCAGCATTCTTTGTCCTCCAAACACGACAAGTTGAGTTTTTACCAAAAAGTTATATTTTGGTTTCATCTGACCATATGACATTCTCCCAATCCTCTTCTGGATCATCCAAATGCACTCTAGCAAACTTCAGACGGGCCTGGACATGTACTGGCTTAAGCAGGGGGACACGTCTGCACTGCAGGATTTGAGTCCCTGGCGGCGTAGTGTGTTACTGATGGTAGGCTTTGTTACTTTGGTCCCAGCTCTCTGCAGGTCATTCACTAGGTTCCCCCGTGTGGTTCTGGGATTTTTGCTCACCGTTCTTGTGATCATTTTGACCCCATGGGGTGAGAACTTGCGTGGAGCCCCAGATCGAGGGAGATTATCAGTGGTCTTGTATGTCTTCCATTTCCTAATAATTGCTCCCACAGTTGATTTCTTCAAACCAAGCTGCTTACCTATTGCAGATTCAGTCTTCCCAGCCTGGTGCAGGTCTACAATTTTGTTTCTGGTGTCCTTTGACAGCTCTTTGGTCTTGGCCATAGTGGAGTTTGGAGTGTGACTGTTTGATGTTGTGGACAGGTGTCTTTTATACTGATAACAAGTTCAAACAGGTGCCATTAATACAGGTAATGAGTGGAGGACAGAGGAGCCTCTTAAAGAAGAAGTTACAGGTCTGTGAGAGCCAGAAATCTTGCTTGTTTGTAGGTGACCAAATACTTATTTTCCACCATAATTTGCAAATAAATTCATAAAAAATCCTACAATGTGATTTTCTGGATTTTTTTTCCTCAATTTGTCTGTCATAGTTGACGTGTACCTATGATGAAAATTACAGGCCTCTCTCATCTTTTTAAGTGGGAGAACTTGCCCAATTGGTGGCTGACTAAATACTTTTTTTCCCCACTGTATGTTGGTTAATGGTAGCAATACCAGTTCTCTTGTAGTACATGATTCTGTTACAGGACCACCAGGTAATGTGAGTTATACAATTTCTGTCTACAATAAGTCTATAGCACTGAAAGGAACCCCAAATGGTACCTATTGGTTATGTGGCCGATTTGCTTATTATAGTTTACCACCTAATTGGGGAGGGACGTGTACTGTTGGGTTTGTGGTGCCAGCCATTCTTCTCCAGGATTCGCTGGCGTTTTGCCTTAGATCAAATTTGAGATTTGGCTATTAAAAGTTGAGAAAATGGGGAATGCTACTTGAGATGCCTTGGTTGCTCTGAATGAGGGAGTGAAAGCACTCCGCCAGGTGGCCCTGCAAAACAGGGAGGCACTTGACTACTTATTGGCTGTGCACTCATTGGCGACGAATGCTGCACTTTTGTCACAGATGTGTCATCAAATGTGACTGATCTTGCTAACTACATTGCCACTGTTGCAAAGTCTCATTCTGGGGAATCAGAGTGGGTGTTTACTGGTTGGCTGAAAGGCCTCTTTGGAGCTTGGGGCTCCCAGATAGCTCAGTGGGTGATAGCTGGAATCTTTAAGGCCATTTGTTTTTCCCTGGCAACTCAAGTCTCAGCAACTATCGCTTTCACAGCTACTAAAGAAGGTGATACTGATAACTTGCTGTCTCTCCAGGAAATCCCCTTTCCCCCTATAATGTATGATAATATGCAATAATAAGTTAGTATCAATGTTTGATTATGTACCTGAAGGTTTTAAGTTAGGTTGTTAAACAACAGCAACCTTATAAATGTAGAGGGTAATGGAATAAGGATCAAATATGAAGATGGATTTTTTTCTATTGTTATGCCTCTTGTATGTGATAATCAATATTTACTAAATGCACTCCTGTTGATAGACTGAATGTATGTTAAGAAGTAACATGAATTTTTGTTATCACATACAGTGCGGGAAAAAAGTATTTGATCCCCTGCTGATTTTGTACGTTTGCCCACTGACAAAGACATGATCAGTCTATAATTTTAATGGTAGGGTTATTTGAACAGTGAGAGACAGAATAACAACAAAAAAATCCAGAAAAACACATGTCAAAAATGTTATAAATTGATTTACATTTTAATGAGGGAAATAAGTATTTGACCCCCTCTCAATCAGAAAGATTTCTGGCTCCCAGGTGTCTTTTATACAGGTAACGAGCTGAGATTAGGAGCACACTCTTAAAGGGAGTGCTCCTAATCTCAGTTTGTTACCTGTATAAAAGACACCTGTCCACAGAATAAATCAATCAATCAGATTCCAAACTCTCCACCATGGCCAAGACCAAAGAGCTCTCCAAGGATGTCAGGGACAAGATTGTAGACCTACACAAGGCTGGAATGGGCTACAAAACCATCGCCAAGCAGCTTGGTGAGAAGGTGACAACAGTTGGTGCGATTATTCGCAAATGGAAGAAACACAAAAGAACTGTCAATCTCCCTCGGCCTGGGGCTCCATGCAAGATCTCACCTCGTGGAGTTGCAATGTTCATGAGAACGGTGAGGAATCAGCCCAGAACTACACGGGAGTATCCTGTCAATGATCTCAAGGCAGCTGGGACCATAGTCACCAAGAAAACAATTGGTAACACACTACACCGTGAAGGACTGAAATTCTGCAGCGCCCGCAAGGTCCCCCTGCTCAAGAAAGCACATATACAGGGCCATCTGAAGCTTGCCAATGAACATCTGAATGATTCAGAGGAGAACTGGGTGAAAGTGTTGTGGTCAGATGAGACCAAAATTGAGCTCTTTGGCATCAACTCAAACGTGTTTGAAGGAGGAGGAATGCTGCCTATGACCCCAAGAACACCCTCCCCACCGTCAAACATGGAGGTGGAAACATTATGCTTTGGGGGTGTTTTTCTGCTAAGGGGACAGGACAACTTCACCGCATCAAAGGGACGATGGACGGGACCATGTACCGTCAAATCTTGGGTGAGAACCTCCTTCCCTCAGCCAGGGCATTGAAAATGGGTCATGGATGGGTATTCCAGCATGACAATGACCCAAAACACATGGCCAAGGCAACAAAGGAGTGGCTCAAGAAGAAGCACATTAAGGTCCTGGAGTGGCCTAGCCAGTCTCCAGACCTTAATCCCATAGAAAATCTGTGGCGGGAGCTGAAGGTTCGAGTTGCCAAACGTCAGCCTCAAAACCTTAATGACTTGGAGAAGATCTGCAAAGAGGAGTGGAACAAAATCCCTCCTGAGATGTGTGCAAACCTGGTGGCCAACTACAAGAAACATCTGACCTCTGTGATTGCCAACAAAGGTTTGCCACCAAGTACTAAGTCATGTTTTGCAGAGGGGTCAAATACTTATTTCCCTCATTAAAATGCAAATCAATTTATAACATTTTTGACATGCGTTTTTCTGGATTTTTTGTTGTTATTCTGTCTCTCACTGTTCAAATAAACCTACCATTAAAATTATAGACTGATCATTTCTTTGTCAGTGGGCAAACGTACAAAATCAGCAGGGGATAAAATACTTTTTTCCCTCACTGTATGGTGAGAAAAGTAGGAGTGTAGTGGACATTTTTAGTGTCCTCTGTGTCTCTGCAAATGCGTGACTACATGTAGCGTATTGTTTCTTGTTATTGTGTTAGGATGTTCTGTGACTTTGCTCTCAGGGAAAGAACTGATAGAAGAACAGAAAGAAGGGAACACACTGTTACTTTGGCCCAACATCTAGAAACTACAGTGCCTTGCAAAAGTATTCATCCCCTTGGCGTTTTTCCTATTTTGTTGCATTACAACCAGATTTTTATTTAGATTTCATGTAATGGATATACACAAAATAGTCCAAATTGGTGAAGTGAAATTTAAAAAATAACTTGTTTCAAAAAATTCAAAAAAATGTATAACGGGAAAGTGGTGCGTGCATATGTATTCACCCCCTTTGCTATGAAGCGCCTAAATAAGATCTGGTGCAACCAATTACCTTCAGAAGTCACATAATTAGTTAAATAAAGTCCACCTGTGTGCAATCTAAGTGTCACATGATCTGTCACATGATCTCAGTATATATATACACATCTGTTCTGAAAGGCCCCAGAGTCTGCAACACCACTAAGCAAGGGGCACCACCAAGCAAGCGGCACCATGAAGACCAAGGAGCTCTCCAAACAGGTTAGGGACAAAGTTGTGGAGAAGTACAGATCAGGGTTGGGTTATAAAAAAATATCCAAAACTTTGAACATCCCACGGAGCACCATTAAATCCATTATTAAAAAATGGAAAGAATATGGCACCACAACAAACCTGCCAAGAGAGGGCCGCCCACCAAAACTCACGGACCAGGCAAGGAGGGCATTAATCAGAGAGGCAACAAAGAGACCAAAGACAACCCTGAAGGAGCTGCAAAGCTCCACAGCGGAGATTGGAGTATCTGTCCATAGGACCACTTTAAGCCGTACACTCCACAGAGCTGGGCTTTACGGAAGAGTGGCCAGAAAAAAGCCATTGCTTAAAGAAAAAAATAAGCAAACACGTTTGGTGTTCACCAAAAGCCATGTGGGAGACTCCCCAAACATATGGAAGAATGTACTCTGGTCAGATGAGACTAAAATTGAGCTTTTTGGCCATCAAAGAAAACGCTATATCTGGCACAAACCCAACACCTCTCATCACCCGAGAACACCATCCCCACAGTGAAGCATGGTGGTGGCAGCATCATGCTGTGGGGATGTTTTTCATCGGCAGGGACTGGGAAACTGGTCAGAATTGAAGGAATGATGGATGGTGCTAAATACAGGGAAATTCTTGAGGGAAACCTATTTCAGTCTTCCAGAGATTTGAGACTGGGACAGAGGTTCACCTTCCAGCAGGACATTGACCCTAATTATACTGCTAAAGCAACACTTGAGTGGTTTAAGGGGAAACATTTAAATATCTTGGAATGGCCTAGTCAAAGCCCAGACCTCAATCCAATTGAGAATCTGTGGTATGACTAAAGATTATCTTGGCAAAGGAGAAATGCTCACTAACAGGGATATAAACATATTTTGCACAACATTTGAGAGAAATAATATTTTTGTGTGTACGGAACATTTCTGGGATTTTTTATTTCAGCTCATGAAACATGGGACCAACACTTTACATGTTGCGTTTATATTTTTGTTCAGTGTATATGTCCAAAAATGGAAGTAGCAACTGCAGATTGCCCTTTAATTGTTTACTGATTATTTACCAAGTGTGTGTGTGTGCCAGGACTTGTCTCGGTAGTTGACAAATGTTTATTAACTCCAAATAAACCATTTATAAACTTTGAATGTTTATTTAGATCTTATAAACCACTTATGAACTCGAAACGTTTGTTAGCGTCTTATAAACTATTCATGAACCCTTTCTGTGTTACCCATCAAACAATATGGGGTGTTGACAGACACTCACTGCGGTTACAGAGATGGCAGGCGTGGTGCTGCGATTGGTTGTGCACCCTCATGTGATCGGTGATGTAGGCGGCTGACAGGAGCTTGCCGCAAATGTGGCACGGGACCTTCTCCTCGTGGCGGATCATATGGGCACGTAGCCGGTCCCTCGTGGCGAAGCTGGATTCGCACGTCTAAACACATCAAGAGTGATGAGTAAAAATTGGTTATCAATAAAGATACAGAGAAAGATGGTCATACCAAGGATCATTTAGCTATTTGATTTAGAATTTTAAGACCCCTTAAGGTATCCAAAAATATATATAAAAACATTATTGGATGAATTTGGCATTACTGCTATTAGCATTGAATAACAGATTCACTACATGGAACAACAGATATAAAAATATAAAAGGAAGTTTGTTCTGAAGTGTCTGTCCTATATCTGAGAGATATAAGGAAGATCAGGAAACTATTTTTATTTTTTTACATATATTTATCCCCTTACTTTAGGCACTAAACTATCTCCAGATATACAGTGCATTCGGAAAGTATTATGTTACAGCCTTATTCTAAAATGGATCAAATTATTATTTTCCATCATCAATCTACACACAATACCCCATAATGACAGAGCGAAAATACGTTTTAAGAAATGTTTGCACATTTATTTTGCAAATGTATTATAAATAAAAAACAGAAATACCTTATTTACATAAGTATTCAGAACCTTTGCTATGAAACTCGAAATTGAGCTCAGGTGCATCCTGTTTCCATTGATCATCCTTGAGATGTTTCTATAACTTGATTGGAGTCCACTGTTAAATTGATTGAACATGATTTGGAAAGGCACACACCTGTCTATATAAAGGTCCCACAGCTGACAGCGCATGTAAGAGCAAAAACCAAGCCACGAGGTCGAATGAATTGTTCGTAGAGCTCCAAGACAGGATTGTGTGATCGAGGCACAGATCTTGGGAAGGGTACCAAAAAATGTCTGTAGCATTGAAGGTCCCCAAGAACACAGTGGCCTCCATCATTCTTAAATGGAAGAAGTTTGGAACCACCAAGACTCTTCCTAAAGCTGGCCGCCCGGCCAAACTGAGCAATCGGGGGAGAAGGGCCTTGGTCAGGCAGGTGACCAAGATCCCGATGGTCACTCTGACAGAGCTCCAGAGTTCCTCTGTGGAGATGGGAGAACCTTCAAGAAGGACAACCATCTCTGCAGCACTCCACCAATTAGGCCTTTATGGTAGAGTGGCCAGACAGAAGCCACTCCTCAGTAAAAGGCACGCATGCTGTGGGAATGTTTTTCAGCGGCAGGGAGACTAGTCAGGATCGAGGCAAAGTACAGAGAGATCCTTGATGAACCTGCTCCAGACCGCTCAGGACCTCAGACTGGGGCGAAGGTTCACCTTCCAACAGGACAATGACCCAAAGCACACAGCCAAGACAACGCAGGAGTGGCTTCGGGACAAGTCTCTGAATGTCCTTGAGTGACCCAGCCAGAGCCCGGACTTGAACCCGATCGAACATCTCTGGAGAGACCTGAAAATAGCTGTGCATCGACGCTCCCCATCCAACCTGACAGAGCCTGAGAAAATCTGCAGAGAAGAATGGGAGAAACTCCCCAAATACAGGTGTGCGAAGCTTGTAGCGTCATACCCAAGAAGACTCGAGGCTGTAATCGCTGCCAAAGGTGCTTCAACAAAGTACTGAGTAAATGGTCTGAATACTAATGTTACTGTGATATCAGTTTCTTTTTTTAAACATTTCTAAAAACCTGTTTTTGCTTTATCATTATGGGGTATTGTGTGTATTTTAGAACAAGGCTGTAATGTAACAAAATGTGGAAAAGGTGAAGGGGTCTGAATACTTTCTGAATGCAATGTACTTCCATGTTTTTTTTTTTACTGGTACCGGGGACCTTCAGACGAGTCTTGTGAGGCTTGTGGGCATCCTAGAGCAAAACGGGGAACACCATCGTGTTCGTGAGAGTCTCATCTTTCAATAGAGTAGTCATAATACATTGTAGGCCAAACCGTTTAGACGCTACAGACCAATTTTCGGGATGTCTCATAGTCTGACAAACACCACTCTAGCTCTGCCACCACCGCAGATGCGGAAGGGCGATATCAGCGGAAGTGGTGGATTGAGACGCAGCCCATGCAAAAAAACAGGTATCTTTAGCTTAAACAGACGGATTTTGATGGGGATTTTTGTATTATGTGAATTGATTTCCACGGGGGAGCGGAAATTGTAGACTAAGGGTTAATAGCAAAACAAACGTTCATTTTATTAATTCAGGGTTGGGGTAAATTCCATTTCAATTCAGTCAATTCAGGAAGTAAACTAAAAAAATTGGAATTTCAGTTTACTTCCTGAATTGACTGAATTTAAATGGAATTGATCCCAACCCCGATTTTATTACAATGGATAGTTATGGTACGAAGGATTTAAGGTACAGAGAAGCAAAACCATGGCTAACAATGACTGTAGCACAAACATCAACTACCGGACACTTGAAGGGTCGTTCAGAAGAGTGGACTTGTCTGACGTGACTGTTGAGATGGTCGGGCCTGAAAGAAGTGAGACAGAAAGGGGTGAGACCACAATACCTTGTTATACACTTTCTCCAACAGAAAATGTGAACTTCCAAATTCAAACTTTTGAGATAGGTTCAAGTCCCAGGTCATGTGTTGTGTAGATACAGCTACAGTGGGGAGAACAAGTATTTGATACACTGCCGATTTTGCAGGTTTTCCTACTTACAAAGCATGTAGAGATCTGTAATTTTTTATCATAGGTACACTTCAACTGTGAGAGACGGAATCTAAAAGAAAAATCCAGAAAATCACATTGTATGATTTTTAAGTAATTCATTTGCATTTTATTGCATGACATAAGTATTTGATACATCAGAAAAGCAGAACTTAATATTTGGTACAGAAACCTTTGTTTGCAATTACAGAGATCATATGTTTCCTGTAGGTCTTGACCAGGTTTGCACACACTGCAGCAGGGATTTTGGCCCACTCCTCCATACAGACCTTCTCCAGATCCTTCAGGTTTCGGGGCTGTCGCTGGGCAATACGGACTTTCAGCTCCCTCCAAATATGTTCTATTGGGTTCAGGTCTGGAGACTGGCTAGGCCCCTCCAGGACCTTGAGATGCTTCTTACGGAGCCACTCCTTAGTTGCGCTGGCTGTGTGTTTCGGGTCGTTGTCATGCTGGAAGACCCAGCCACGACCCATCTTCAATGCTCTTACTGAGGGAAGGAGGTTGTTGGCCAAGATCTCGCGATACATGGCCCCATCCATCCTCCCCTCAATACGGTGCAGTCGTCCTGTCCCCTTTGCAGAAAAGCATCCCCAAAGAATGATGTTTCCACCTCCATGCTTCACGGTTGGGATGGTGTTCTTGGGGTTGTACTCATCCTTCTTCTTCCTCCAAACACGGCGAGTGGAGTTTAGACCAAAAAGCTATATTTTTTTCTCATCAGACCACATGACCTTCTCCCATTCCTCCTCTGGATCATCCAGATGGTCATTGGCAAACTTCAGACGGGCCTGGACATGCGCTGGCTTGAGCAGGAGGACGTTGCGTGCGCTGCAGGATTTTAATCCATGATGGCGTAGTGTGTTACTAATGGTTTTCTTTGAGACTGTGGTCCCAGCTCTCTTCAGGTCATTGACCAGGTCCTGCCGTGTAGTTCTGGGCTGATCCCTCACCTTCCTCATGATCATTGATGCCCCACGAGGTGAGATCTTGCATGGAGCCCCAGACCAAGGGTGATTGACCGTCATCTTGAACTTCTTCCATTTTCTAATAATTGCGCCAACAGTTGTTGCCTTCTCACCAAGCTGCTTGCCTATTGTCCTGTAGCCCATCCCAGCCTTGTGCAGGTCTACAATTTTATCCGTGATGTCCTTACACAGCTCTCTGGTCTTGGCCATTGTGGAGAGGTTGGAGTCTGTTTGTTTGAGTGTGTGGACAGGTGTCTTTTATAGAGGTAACGAGTTCAAACAGGTGCAGTTAATACAGGTAATGAGTGGAGAACAGGAGGGCTTCTTAAAGAAAAACTAACAGGTCTGTGAGAGCCAGAATACTTACTGGTTGGTAGGTGATCAAATACTTATGTCATGCAATAAAATGCAAATGAATTACTTAAAAATCATACAATAGGATTTTCTGGATTTTTGTTTTAAATTCCGTCTCTCACAGTTGAAGTGTACCTATGATAAAAATTACAGACCTCTACATGGTTTGTAAGTAGGAAAACCTGCAAAATCGGCAGTGTATCAAATACTTGTTCTCCCCACTGTATATGCCACAAACCAATATGAATGAAAAATATAAGATTTGTGGTGCTTAAATGTTTTGTTCATTTTGGGTTTAGCCATACAGCTGCATCTACACAACCAATGGCACGGAATGTGGACTTATCGACTACTTTTGAGGTCTAAAACATCTGACAAACTTTGATTTTTGGAGTGTAACGTCTCTTTAAGCTCAGTGTATCACTGAGACACAAAGCATAAGAAAGCGGCCTGGCGAGGCAATATCTGCAAGCATTTTCTATTGCCTGCCCTAATGAACACAACCCTGCTCTCTGGCCTATAGCGTGACCCTCTCACCTGGAGAAAGCCTTGGCACAGTGGGGGCACACGTAGGGTTTCTCCACACCGCCTTGGTGAGAGCGCACGTGGTGGCTCATGCGGTCCTTCCTTTTGAACCGCTGCTGGCAGATGGGGCAGGAGAAGGGTTTCTCATCCGAGTGGGAGAGACGGTGTCGGTTTAGGTGGTACACGTCTCGGAAGGCCTTCCCGCATGTTTCACAGGCGTGGTTCTTCCGCACAGGGTTCGGGTTTGATGGCCGCTGAGGGGGGGGGGGGGGAAGAGATGAGGAGAAAGAGACGCGCTTATAGTACAAACATTGTTTTTTATGTATTGTCGGACTTGACAATTACACATGCCTCTGTGTTGATTATTGACATATCATATTGTCGATTCTCTGTGTCTTTCCGAACCACGCAGACACACATGGCTCACTACACCTAGATAATTTCTCTGGACCATTTGCATAACATGCTGAATTCCCTCTATTGAAAATAAGGCTTTTCCACAATCTCCATAAAGACCATGCAAGAGGAACCTAAATTCTTCTTTTCCTTTTCACGGACGACAACAACAACCTCCAGAAGCACCCTGACCCACCTGTACTGTTGCCCCCGCCGCCATGTCAACAGCAGCAGGAGGAGCATGGGGGTTAACGCTAGCCACTACGCTCGCCATGGCAACCTCTCCGCCATCCTGACTACCCAGAGCTGGCTGCTGGGACGCCAGCACGCTAGGAGGGGGGAGAGGGGGAGGAACGGAGAGGTGGAGCAGGGAGAGGGGGATCGTGTGCCTCTCCGCCCTCCCTCCCGACACCAGCTGCGCTGGGCCGGCGCCATTGCCACCCTCCTTTGCCCCCTCCTCCTGCTCCCCTGCTCCTGCTCGCTTCATGCGTACCCCGGTGTGGACCGACTGGTGCCGCCGCAGGTTGTAGTTGTTCTTGAACTGCTTGCTGCATATTGCACAGATGTGGGGCACACGGGCAGGCCGGGACACCGTCTTCACTGTAGCACGGAAGACAGGAAGAAGAGAGGGAATGGGAGAGGATATGCACATTAATAATAATAACATCCCTATCAATTCAAAATATAATAGTATGAATACTATCACATTATACTCATAACAGGATAACAGACCACTTGTTTAGCAATCTACATTACCTCCTTTTCAACTTAATTGCTGATAACTGCTGAAAAAGCAATAGTATTTCTATGTATTTTCACTGAAAAAGCAATAGTATTTCTATGTATTTTCACAACCCATGATTCTCTCACCGGGTAAGGGTTCTTCATTGAGGGCAGCAGTGTCCACCGTGGAAGGAGGCTGGGCTATGTGCTCTGTGGGAGGGGTCTGAGGAGAGGCTATATGGACTGGTAAGAGTTCTGATTGGAGGGTCCCCTCCACTTGGTTTTGGGTGGGAGTAGTCTGGAGAGATAAACACAGCCATCAGCAGAAAATCGCTGCATTGTCTAGACTATACACTACTTTGTTTAACTGAAATGGGCAAGCCCTGGGGCTGCAGACAAAGAAAATATTCTAAAGCCGTTCTTCAGAAAAGCGCACACACGACTAGAAAGAATGTCAATTAAAACTTACCTGGAAGAGAAAATTGCTCCAAGCAGCATCCATTTTGCACCAAAGCGATGAAGAGTATAAAGTCAGCTAAGTAACCTGATGGCGATTCGACAGTGAACCGTTGGCATATTATTTAATAGCCCTGTTGATGGTTGAGGCGAGAAGATCTATGTTGACAGTATTGAAATACAGCAAGAAGAGTAGGCTATTGATCATCTGAAAGGGACATGCAACTATCAAAAATGTACTTTGTAAAATTATTTCTATAACAGAAGTATTCAAGCTATTCAAATTCAAGCAGACGTTTCGACTAGGCTGACTGCCTGAGTGGAATTGCCAGCTCCAATAGTGGCCTATTTATCTTTGACTTTGGTTTCTAACTTTAATTTTATCAAAGCATAAGGAACGCAAATCTCTTGGCATTGATGACTTTGAAACCAAATATCTTTGCGCACAAAATCAATGTTATTTACACAGCCGTAGTCATACATAATAATAGCTAGATCTTAAAATTAAATGAATGCATTTTACACACAATGACAACTACTATCAGTGTTACAATAAACGCATTTGAAAGAGTAGCAGTTAATGCTTTTAATTTATGAATCTATTCTTCCGATTTCCCCCAATAGGCCTATCGGGTGTTTGTCGAAGCCTCGTTGTTGTATTCAAGCCCTGACCCTGGCAAAGAGCGATCGCGCCGGGACGCAGCCTATCGCTCCACCTCGGCTGTTCAATTGCGAGGATGTCATCTTTCTTTTTTTATTGCTCGCTCTCCCTCCTCCCTCCCTGTATCGTTCTTCCTTTTCTTTTTTAATTCCTCTTTCTTCTCCCCCTCCTCTCCTTTTCTTGCACCGCTATGTCCCAGTTGCTCTTAAAGGGATATAATTTATCTTCGTTGGACACCCTCTTTCATTTCCGTCTCCCTCAATGGAGCATTTCCTTTCTGCCCCCTCCTACTCGGGATTTCGGCCGACAGAAATTGCACTACAGTATTTTTCAGACCATCATAAAGAGATCTCTATCGTTGCTATAGAGAGAAATAGTAAAAAAAAAAAATTGAAGGCACTAACTGCGCCATGTTCGTTGGACAAAACCTATGAGGAAAATGAATGGCGTATTTGTAGGGTTTTGGATAAACGCCGAAAATAAGGTCTGTGGTAAACACAGGTTTGGGAGATCTTATACGTTTTGTTCTATTAGATAATCTTCATAAGCTAACGTCACTTTTAGTGAATGTTGGAAGTATTTTTGTAATAATAAAAACATAAATCTCATAACGGTCATGTTAACTGACTGCTATTATCTCATAGAACACAACATATACAATATCCTAAACCTGTGTTAAAGGAGCATTATGTATAATTTTTGCCTTATAATGTCGTAAAAATTACATAATATATCTGCAGTAATAGTGGAATGATAGTGTTTCAAAACACCCCATACAGAACCAATCAGTCGATATAATCAAGAACTATCATCAGAAATCACGCGATATGAATTAGACAGTGGGGCGCCGCCTGACCCACTAGTTGGTAAGGTTTATATCGTAATTTCCGATTAAGCAAAAAGCATCAACCACGGCTGTTATTACACCCGGTATACGTTGGTGGCGGTAATGACCATGTTTATTGTGCTGTAACTAAAACTAGAAGAAGATCTTCTGACGTCCTTTCCCTTCGTCAAAGGTAGGTAATCGTGCTCTTTTTTAAAACTGATTTACAAAACTGATGTAATGGATTATAAAACGTGTTTTTACCCCGGGATAGCCCGCTAATATGACCCATAGTAGGAAATAACATTTATTGAGTGCAATTCGATCTGAATATATTATCAATTTAAAAGGATTTGCAAATTTGCATTAGCAGTCTTTTCGGCTTAAATTTCACGGGAACCATGGCATGGTGTCATGACAGAAGTGAGGGAGAGGCTGAAACCTGTGGCTAGCCAGGGGGGGTTGGGGCGATGAGTCCCATAAGGTTGACGGCTGTGATAAAATAGTTGATTGGGGAAGTTGTCAATGCTAAAGTGTTAAGAGATGGGAGCTTGTTGGTGTTCTGTAAGGACATGGTGCAGAGGGAAAAAGCTCTCAGAGTGAAGCAAATAGGGAAGTGTAAGGTGGTGTCGAGCAGCTGGACTGATCAAGCAGGGAAGCAGTGGATTAAAGGGGTGATAACAGGAGTGCCTGTGAGTGTTAGCACTAAAGAGGTAAGCGACAATTTGAGAGGAGGCGTTCTAGTGAATGTTCAAAACATTTGCAAGCAATAAGGGGTGGAGTTAGGGTAGATAGCACGTCTATTCTGTTACATTTCAAGGACCGGGTACTGCCAAATAAGGTAACCGTAGGATATATGAGTTATTATGTGAGGGTTATGTACCGAAGCCTTTAAGATCTTATAACCGCCAGAGGTTTGGGCATGTGGCAACAGTCTGTAAAGAGAAAAAGAGGTGTGCTGGGTGTGGAGGGGAGCATGAGTATGGGAAGTGTGGAGATGGTGGACACCCAAAGTGCTGCAGCTGTGGGGGTGCTCATAGTGTAGCATATATTGGGTGTGAGGCAATGAAGCCGGCAGTGGAGGGTGTCATACGCTGAGGCAGTGAGGGTGGTCCAGGTCCAGGGAGATACAGGTTCAAGGGAGAGAAGGGTAGGAGCATCTAGACCGGGGATAACGGAGCAGGTGGGCAGCGATATGTTATACATAGAAAAGAGAAAGCTGGTGACGTTCATAGCAGGAGCTATCAATAGCACTGATGAAGTAGAGTCTAAAACAGAGGATTCAACTAATAGTGAAAGCTGCTGAGAGACATCTGAGTATGTATTTAGGCAGGTTATCTTAGTGTTCTTGGGCACAGGAACTATGGTGGTCTGCTTGAAACATGTTGGTATTACAGACTCAGTCAGGGACATGTTGGAAATGTCAGTGAAGACACTTGCCAGTTGGTCAGCGCATGTTCGGAGTACACGTCCTGGTAATCCGTCTCGCCCTGCGGCCTTGTAAATGTTGACCTGCATAAAAGTCTTACTCACATCGGCTACGGAGAGCGTGATCACATAGTCATTAGGAACAGCTGATGCTCTCATGCATGCTTCAGTGTTGCTTGCCTCTTAAGTGATTTAGCTCGTCTGGTAGGCTTGTGTCACTGGGCAGCTCGCGGCTGTGCTTCCCTTTGTAGTCTGTAATAGTTTTCAAGCCCTGCCACATCCGACGAGCGTCAGAGCCAGTGTAGTACGATTCAATCTTAGTCCTGTATTGACTCTTTGCCTGTTTGATGGTTCGTCGGAGGGCATAGCAGGATTTCTTATAAGCATCCGAGTTAGAGTCCCGCTCCTTGAAAGCGGCAGCTCTACCCTTTAGCTCAGTGCGGATGGTGTGGTTGAGAGGAGGAGTGCTAGTGGTCGTGAACTACTATAATCCGTGTCAGATATTGGACCTGGAAGTGCAGGAGAGGGTAGAGGGCCAGGATAGAAGTAAGGGAATGTGGTGTGGGAGGAGTCGCCATTGCCCCACACTCCTCTGTCCACCATAGGACTGCTTTCCTCCTCCTCCCTGAATTCTTAGGTATAGCCTCAGTAGCTGCCCCCACAACATGCTCTGTGAGTGGGAGGTATGGGAGGAGTCGACAGTAGGGAGTGATCATTACCCCATAGTATGCACAGTAGGCCGGAGGGTTGAGGAGGTGTCAGTGGATGGAGTAGGCAGGTGGGTGTTTGGAAGGGCAAAGTGGGATCAGTTTCAGGAGCTGAGTGAGCAGGTGATGGCTCGGGTGGATATGAGGGGATATGGATCGTATGAATAACTGGGTGAGAACAGCGTTAGTGGAGGCAGCTACTGAGGCTATATCTAAGAGTTCAGGGAGGAGGAGGAAAGCAGTCCTATGGTGGACGGAGGAGGGTGGGGCAATGGTGAGGAGTAGGAACAGCGTATTTAGAGTACTTAAAAAAAGGATGCATAACTTCTGATTCAGTATAAGCAGGCCCAGGTCCTGATGAGGATAACTATCCGTCAGGCAAAGAGGTCATGTTGGCGTCGGTTCTGTGACACCATTGGAAGAGCGACACCTGTGGGAGAAGTGTGGGGGATGATTAAGAGGATGAGTGGGGTTACAAGGGAGTGGGATTAGCCAGTGTTGACGAGTGGGAAAGGATGTGGCAGTAACAGGTGAGAAGACAGAGATGATGGCCAAAGCGTTTGTCCAAGTGCATAGCTCGGCAAATTTGTTAGAGGGGGAGAGAGAGATGGGAGAGGAGCATCCTGGAGTGCTGGATAGGAGGGAGGATGTAAATAATGCATTGAATGCACCATTTACAGTGAGGGAAAAAAGTATTTGATCCCCTGCTGATTTTGTACGTTTGCCCACTGACAAAGAAATGATCAGTCTATAATTTTAATGGTAGGTTTATTTGAACAGTGTGAGACAGAAAAACAACAACAAAATCCAGAAAAGCATGTCAATAATTTTATGAATTGATTTGCATTTTAATGAGGGAAATAATTATTTGACCCCTCTGCAAAACATGACTTAGTACTTGGTGGCAAAACTCTTGTTGGCAATCACAGAGGTCAGACGTTTCTTGTAGTTGGCCACCAGGTTTGCACACATCTCAGGAGGGATTTTGTTCCACTCCTCTTTGCAGATCTTCTCTAAGTCATTAAGGTTTCGAGGCTGACGTTTGGCAACTCGAACCTTCAGCTCCCTCCACAGATTTTCTATGGGATTAAGGTCTGGAGACTGGCTAGGCCACTCCAGGACCTTAATGTGCTTCTTCTTGAGTCACTCCTTTGTTGCCTTGGCCGTGTGTTTTGGGTCATTGTCATGCTGGAATACCCATCCACGACCCATTTTCAATGCCCTGGCTGAGGGAAGGAGGTTCTCACCCAAGATTTGACAGTACATGGCCCCGTCCATCGTCCCTTTGATGCGGTGAAGTTGTCCTGTCCCCTTAGCAGAAAAACACCCCCAAAGCATAATGTTTCCACCTCCATGTTTGACGGTGGGGATGGTGTTCTTGGGGTCATAGGCAGCATTCCTCCTCCTCCAAACACGGCGAGTTGAGTTGATGCCAAAGAGCTCGATTTTGGTCTCATCTGACCACAACACTTTCACCCAGTTCTCCTCTGAATCATTCAGATGTTCATTGGCAAACTTCAGACGGGCATGTATATGTGCATTCTTGAGCAGGGGGACCTTGTGGGCGCTGCAGGATTTCAGTCCTTCACGGCGTAGTGTGTTACCAATTGTTTTCTTGGTGACTATGGTCCCATCTGCCTTGAGATCATTGACAAGATCCTCCCGTGTAATTCTGGGCTGATTCCTCACCGTTCTCATGATCATTGCAACTCCACGAGGTGAGATCTTGCATGGAGCCCCAGACTGAGGGAGATTGACAGTTATTTTGTGTTTCTTCCATTTGCGAATAATCGCACCAACTGTTGTCACCTTCTCACCAAGCTGCTTGGCGATGGTCTTGTAGCCCATTCCAGCCTTGTGTAGGTCTACAATCTTGTCCCTGACATCCATGGAGAGCTCTTTGGTCTTGGCCATGGTGGAGAGTTTGGAATCTGATTGATTGATTGCTTCTGTGGACAGGTGTCTTCTATACAGGTAACAAGCTGAGATTAGGAGCACACTCTTAAAGGGAGTGCTCCTAATCTCAGTTTGTTACCTGTATAAAATACACCTGGGAGCCAGAAATCTTTCTGATTGAGAGGGGGTCAAATACTTATTTCCCTCATTAAAATGCAAATCAATTTATAACATTTTT